AGGGTAGAACTGCCCCACAGGCTTCCAGGGAGCGGCTGGTGGATTTGAACTGCCAGCCTTTTGGTTAGCAGTTGAGCTCTTAAGCAAAAAGGTCATGAAAAAGATAAGAAAGAAAGAAAAGACCAAAATGGGTGTCAGAAGAGACTCTGAGATTTGCTCTTGAACGTAGAGTAGCTAAAGTGAAAGAAGAAATGAAGTAAAAGAGCTGAACAGAAGATTTCAAAGGGTGGCTCAGGAAGACAAAGTAAAGTATTATAATGAAATGTGTAAAAACTTGGAGTTAGAAAACCAAAAAGGAGGACGTGCTTGGCATTTCTCAATCTGAAAGAACTGAAGAAAAAGTTCAAGCCTCGAGTTGCAATGTTGAAGGATTCTGTGGGCAAAATACTGAATGACACAGGAAGCATCAAAAGAAGAAAGAAATACACAGAGTCACTGTACCAAAAAGAATTGGTCAATGTTCAGCCATTTCAAGAGGTAGCCTATGATCAAGAACTGATGGTGTTGAAAGAAGAAGTCCAAGATGTACTGAAGGTATTGGCGAAAAACAAGGCTTCAGGAATTGACGGAATACCAACAAACGAATGCAGCGCTGAAAGTGCTCGCTTATCTATGCCAAGAATTTGGAAGACAGCTACTTAGCCAACCAACTGGAAGAGATACATATTTGTGCCCGTTCCAAAAAAACAGAATGCAGAAGTTATCCAACAATACCATTAATATAACATGCAAGTAAAATTTTGCTGAAGATCATTCAAAAATGGTTGCAGCAGTACATTGACAGGAAACTGCCAGAAATTCAAGCTGGATTCAGAAGAGGATGTGGAACAAGGGATATCTTTGCTGATGTCTGATGGATCATGGCTAAAAGCAGAAAATACCAGAAAGATGTTTACTTGTGTGTTATTGACTGTACAAAGGCATCCATCGCTGTGGATCGTAACAAATTATGGATAACATTGTGAAGACTGGGAATTCTTCATTGGAATAGAACAAAGGAATACTGCATGGTTTAAAATCAGGAAAGGTGTGTGTGTCAGAGTTGTATCCTTTCACCGTATTTAATTAGTTTGTATGAGCAAATAACCGAGAAGCTGGACTATGTGAAGAAGAACAAGGCGTGGGATTGGTGGAAGACTCGTTAACAACCTGTGATGTGCAGATGACACAACCTTGCTTACTGAAAGCAAAGAGAACTTGAAGCACTTACTGAAGAAGATCAAAGACTACAGCCTTCAGTATGGATTACACCTCAACATAAATCAAAAATCTTCACAACTGGATCAATAAGCAACATCATGATAAACAGAAAAAACATTGACGTTGTCAAGGATTTCATTTTACCGGGATCCACAATCAATACCCATGGAAGCAGCAGTCAAGAGTCAAATAAAGTATTGCGTTGGGCAAATCTGCTGCAAAAGACCTCTTTAAAGTGTTTAAAAGCAAAGATGTCACCTTGAAGACTAAGATGCGCCTGATCCAAGCCATGATATTTTCAGTCACCTCATGTACAGGTGAAGGCTGGACAGTGAATAAGGAAGACCAAAGAAGAATTCATGCATTTGAATTATTGTGTTGACAAAGAATATTGAATATACCACGGACTGCCAGAAGAACGAACAAATCTGTCTTGAGAGAAGTACAGCCAGAATTCCCCTTAGGAGCCAGGATGTCGAGACTCCATCTCATGTAGTTTGGACATGTTATCAGGAGGGACCAGTCCCTGGAGAAGGACATCATGCTTGGTAAAGTAGAGGGTGAGCATAAAAGAGGAAGACACTCAACGAGATGGATTGACACAGTGACTGCAACAGTGGGCTCATACATAGCAACCATCGTGAACATGGCACAGGCCTGGGTAGTGTTGCGTTCTGTTGTACAGGGCTGCTATGAGTCGGAACAGACTGGATGACATCTAACAACAACATAAATATATATACATATTTTTTGTATATATATATATTTTTAATTGGTGGACAGTTCTTTTGTGTTCTTGTTTCCCCCTCCCGCAATGTGTCTCAATTTGGGTTCAAGTTTCAAGTGGAAGTAGTTTATTTGGAAATACAGGAAACAATGGTAGAAGAGTGGGAAGGTGAGACAGAGGAAGGAAGGATGCTTTAGTGATCCAGAGACAACTATGGGCAATTGGAGTTTAATCCTGAGGGGAAACAGTGTAGAACACACACCTCAGAGTTATTCCATCTAAGGGACAAGGAAGCTGGAGTATTCATGCACCAACCCCTCTCAGTCATTGGTTGAGGGCTGCTCCCAAGGAGTGTTCATGCCCCAGAGCAACCTGAACCCTTCCTAGGGTTTGAAGAAAGCCCTCGGGCAGAGATACTGATGCTGACAGGAGATTAGTCAGTGCACGATGCAGTAAGGCTTGAGGGATATGAGCAGGGTACCAAAGAGTGAGCTATGCCATACTTCTAGTTTCTGTTGAAACGGTAGACCTCTTGAGCACCATTGCTTTAATTTGCTCCTTCCACATCTTTACCCAAGGCCAGCTCAGTGCTCAAATCTCTTATTGCCTTGACTCTTCTGTGAATCACCCGGTACCCTTATCTTTCATAACGGCACCTAATGATTTCTACTTCATGGCATGGTAGTTATGTACCTGCATGTATTGTATTTTCTTCCTGTCTTATTTTTCTACATGATTTAAGCTCCTTGGGAGCCCCAGCTATTAACTTGTACATCGTTATAACCACCAGGGTTCCTGACATATACGACAAGTGCTGGGTTAATATGTAATGAAGGAACCTTTCCCCCAGCTGTTTTGCCAAACAGGCCATGAGAGGAAAGCCCTTGGCCTCCTGAATTTCAACTTCTTAACTTCAACCAAGATAGTGTCAGAAGCTGCAAGGGGTTACTGAATGGACCCTAAAGTTAGGGCAATGAAATTCATCTTTTTCTTTTTCTAAAGAAACTGCTAAATTGAAATGTAACAGGATTAGTTCTGAAAACTAGTGAATTAATTTTTATAGTATTTAGTAAAGTATTTTTGTGAGGCACGAAGATGTGTATGGTTTGGACTGATACTTTTTGGAATTGTTCTCAGTGTCATTTTCAAATAAGAAGTTTTATTTTGAAAATTGTAGGCCTTTCTTTTTCTAGGGAAGTAAACAAATGGGGCCAAAAGGTAAGAAGTAATGCTGATTTAAATGTAAAGTAAAAATACTTTTGTTAATCTTTGGAAATAAATGAGCTCTCGGAATTGCTCACTTGTTGCTTCCAGACAATGCATTTATGAGTCCTAAGTAGACTAAATATGGCTTAGTGTCCTATCTTTTTGTGATCAAGAAGTTTGAAGCTGCCATATAAAAGAGGATTGCTTATGCCCCTGGCACTAACTCATGGTGGGGTTGGCAATGGCTTCCTGCTTAAAGATGTCAGCTGGCAGCAGGGAAGTTCAGGATGTTTGACCTTGCATGAAATAAAGTTCCTACCATTATGTGTGGAAACTCCTAGTTTGGGCTTTCCAATCAAAAACCATGATGACTTTAATTTATCCTCTTACTTTGAAGACAAAGTGAGGAGGGAACCCTTCCTTAAGATGGTTCAGAAGATGAAAATGCCCTTTCTACCCAGGGAGAAAATACCGAGATAGCCTGCCCTTCTGCTGTGCGAGTATTTTCTTAGAGTAGGAACAACTGATATATCTTGGTAAGGTATCTAGTATTCCATAAGAAGGTACAGCTAGCATAGCTAATGGACAGTGTTTCGGTCTCCCCACCCAGAGGCATCTTGGAAGACAGGCCTGGTGATCTGCTTCCAAGAGGTCACAGCTTTGAAAACCCTGTGGAGCAGTTCTGCTTGCACACATAGGGTTGCCTGCCATGAGTTGGAATCGACTTGATGGCAACTAACAACAACAATCCTAATAGAAGGGAAGGGAATAAGTATAGCATGCCTCCTGCATGCCACACACAATGGTAGGCACTTTACTGACAATTGTTGTGAAATTAAATCCTGTTTATAATCATATTCCCGTTTTACCAATGAAGAAATGGAGGCTTCAAAGTTTAATATGTCCATTAGTCATAGCTAGTAAGTGGTGGAGCTAGAAAATGACAAATTCAAGCCCAGTTCTGACTCTGAAGTTCATGTACTTTCTGCCCTAGAATTGGGATGGCACAGATTGAATGTGATGGTGACCTGTGGCATGTTTAATTAATTAATTTAGATTCAGTGGAGATGAGGTATCCTTCTATCAATGAGCTGAGAGGTCATTCTTTCAATTAGAGCTAAAGAAGCTGGGGAATGCGTGACTTTTTCATGTTAACGATGGTGATAATTCCCCTGTGCATGGGTTAAAAATCTTCTTGGGTGGGCTTAGAGAGAACTTTTCCTCTCCCACACTAAAACAATTCATCATTGGTGTCTTTGTGTCAGTTTGCCTTTGACGTGAGTTATGAGTTAAACTATACTATTTAAATAGTTAAACAATCAGTGTTTCTGTTGAGAATACCTGCTCTTACTCATTCCCAGAAATATATTCTGGCAGAATATCCTATGACCGTATATCCCAAGACTATTACTCCCCATGAAGTCCTTTGAGATCTCATGGAACCATTTTTATCTGCAATAGAAAAGCCTACAAATCAGTTCAACCTTCCTCCTCTTGGATTCTAGCTGCTTTTCAAAGTTTTCCATCTTACTCTGCTGACGAAAACTGAATCTGACAGAAACTGAAAACAGTGGATTCTGGTCCTTTTTATACCTAGATACATTGATCCCACGTCAGTGGACTCAGTAATGACGTCCTAAAAAAGTTCATCATAGACCCTGCCTCTTGTGTCCCCTCCCCCCCAATTCCTCTTAGTAGCCAATGAGGCTTTTGGTTTCCAGGTATTTTTAAGATGCTGTTTGCTTTGTGGTGCCTTAGGAATATACATCCATTTATCTTATTTATCAATTTTTCATCTTTATGGATAAAGATATATTTATAAATAAATACCAGTGTTAAACACAATTTTTTTTTTTTGTCCAAACAGTACATCCTATCAGGTTCTGATGACTTCAACCTGTACATGTGGAGAATTCCTGCAGATCCAGAAGCAGGTGAGTGCATCCTCTATAACCCAGTACTAATGCTGGCTCTGTTGACCTTCAGCATGCTGTGGCCCTGAAAGGATAGATCTGTAGCAATAGAGGAAGATGTTTCTCTTTTAACATAATATGCAGTTTATCAGAAAAGTGACCAAAGGGAATTGTAAAATAAAAATTAGAAGCTAGATTTAACTGTAACCTTCACCCATAGCCTTATCTGCCATAATGATGCTCAAACTTTTTTCTCCTAAGAAGCTTTCTTTAGACCTCATAGATCTTTATGTCTGTTTTCCTCTCTCCTGTTTCACACCTGGAGTATTTTTATCTTGTAAATGCTTTTCCTGTATTATCCATCCCCGTATTCTGGCCTCTTACTCTACAGAGAGTTGCTAGAGCCTCTTCCATTCCTTTGGCCTCCCTGGTAATATTAACTAAAGGGAGGCTTTCTTTGTTGATAGACATGTACATTCCCTGGGGTTTGGCTGACCCTAGACATCAAACCACTTAGAAAGAAATATTTCTGCATTTGTTCTAAATGTATTCCAAGAAAAGCCTACAGCTTTCCATATATTTGGTTCTAGGCCATCTGAGCTTTCAGACAACATAGATCATTCCTCATTCTTGATAATAGTGCCCTCACATGCTCAGTTGAGTGTTACATTGGTTGCTACCTACTGGTAGAAAACTGTCTTATATCTTATACCCAGACAGCTCAGTACAGCCATCTGTTCCTGGTAATATGTGACATCAAGCTGGAAAATGGCAACTAGGAAAGTAATAGAGGACTGTGTCAAACATATTATTCAAAATGTGTCTAGTGCCCAGAGTTTAAGGAAATTGTTGGCTTTGCCTGTTACTGAATTGACAACATTGTTACTAAACATGTGTCTTTCAAAACTTGTTGAAGCTCACTTAAGGCATAACTATCCTGTTGTTGTGGTCCGGTTACTAAACAACTTACAGAAGACCTTTTCCCTTTCTGGAATTTGGAAAGCCTGAGTGAAGCAGCTTACCTTTGAAACACAACCAGATGGGGTGGCAGCAGTCTATCAGAACAAAAAGTGATGCTCTGGATGCTGTTCTTTATTAAAGCAGTTTTCTCGGGCCACCACCCGTAAGTCCTAGACTGATACACTGCAGAAATAATCTTTGGGTTTAATTGTATCTTTTACCTGATCTTGAGAAGCTTTTAATTATTAAGTCAACATGCCTTTTTGAAAAATTGTTTTAAAAAAACACATAACACATTTGCCAAATCAACATTTTTCAGGTGTGCAATTTAGTGTGATATCAGTTATATTAATCATGTGGTGCAACTGTTACCCATAATTGTTGCCAAATTTCCCATCACCGTGAACAGAAACTCAAGTCAATGTGACTTTTAAAACAGAAGATGGATAATCCCCCAGGGACTATTCTCTGGAGTCTTTTTCACATTTGGATAAAGAGAGAAGGGGAAAAGAATTAGCTATAGTGTTGTAGATTTTTTCCCTCTCTTTGGTGATTTCTGTACTGACTTAGGGTATGATGATTTTAATAGTTTAGAAGGGCTTTTGTTAGGCTGGCTTCTTAAGTACATGATTGTGTAACCTCTTGCTAGGCAAGACCTGACATGTGATTTAGCGTTGCAATATGCAAACTGAGAAATGTATACTCAGACTTTCCAAGGAAAGGAATCTATTTCTGGATTCTCAAATTCTATATGTACTCTTTCATAAAATTGATATTCCTTAGAAGACGCCCATCTCCTTTTTCCTTCTCCCCCTTCCCATGTGCTCCTTCTCCCACTTTTACTAAAAGGAAAAAGAGACAAATTTCTGGCCAGTTTGAACCTTAGCATGATGTGTTACCCTGAGGTGTTAAAAACCTCCAAGGTACCAAAAAATCTGAAACATCCTTTAATCGAAAGACCATAATCTGATTCTCCCCTCTTAACCTTCTTAAGAGATGCACTTAAAATAAATTGCTTCTTTTCATATATAGTTAGTGGCACAGTGGTTAAGAGCTCGGCTGCTAACCAAAAGGTCAGCAGTTCGAATCCACCACCTGTTCCTTGGAAACCCTATAGGGCAGTTCTATCCTGTCCTATAGGCTCACTATGAGTTGGAATCGATTTGCGGCAATGTTTTTTTGTCTTGTTTTGTTTTGGTTTTTTTTTTGAGGTAGTTATAAAAATTTTAAAGTATCTGTGTTGTTTTGAGCGGTTGTGTTTCAGTTATAATTATGATAAATCCAAGAGAAAATTTTTAATACTTAAAGCCCTATGGTCACAGTAGATAAAGAAATAGAATGTTTCTAGCCACCCAGAAGCCCTTATGTGCTCCACTCTAATCATAGCCCCTTTGTTTCCCCTACACTTTTACTTGAGGAATAACCTAACATCTGAACTTAAACCTCTGCTAGGATGCCTCCCACGATAAGGTGCTGTTGTCTCAGGATAGCTCCAGTGATTAGAAAGTTCTTCTTAGATTAAGCTGTACTCTCTTCCCCTCTAGTCCCTTGAGTAGTGACTTACTAAGAACGGACCTTATCCTTCTTCCTTTTATTAGCCTTTTAGTCATTTGAAGGTAGCTCTCGTGTCCCCCTCTGGATTCTCCAGAGATAGCATCCCCAGTTTATTTAGTAGTTCCTCAAAGAAACTTTGCTATACTGACTTCTCACCTAAATTTGTGCCACCTCTGTTTAAGTATTGACTGAACAAATTCAGTAGATGTGGTCTGACTAGGCCAAAGAAAATCTGTGGCTTCTCTTGATTGTGCTACATGGTGTTTCAGAAAGTACACCCAGGATCCCGTAAGCTTTTTGGAGACCATACGGACTCATGATCTACTTATATTATACTTACAGTTGACTGGAAGCCCCACTGTTTCCACGTGGGCTGTGGTTGGTCATGGATTCCCATCCTTTACTTGTATGCTTAGGTTTCTTTGTATATAAAACAGGACCTTGTGATTATCCCTCTTGTTGGATTCACTAACTGTTAGTTGAGGGGTTTGTTTTCTCTGGATCATTCTTCAACATTACATCATCAGTCTATCACAGCAAGCCTGTCCCTTTGATCATCATCTTGCTCTGCATGTAACTAAAGCACCTTTTCGGATTATTTTTAGTGAGCCTTGGCTCATTTGGGGCTTCCTGCCACTGTCCTGACAGAACACCTTGTTCTTTTCTTGTTTGTGTATCTTTCCTTTTTCTTTCTTGTGTTTTTTCACTCCTTTTGGTATTTTTGTAATTAAGTACTTTTTTTTTTTAAATTGTGCTTTAAGTGAAAGTTTACATGCAAAAATTTATACACACACTGTTATGTGACCCTAGTTGCTATGTCTATAATATGTCAGCACACTCCTCCTTTCCACCCTGGATTTCCCATGTCCATTCAACCAGCTTCTGTCCCTTTCTGGCTTCTCATCTCACCTTCGAATAGGAGTTGCTCATTTATTCTCATGTATCTACTTGAACTAAGAAGCATACTCTTCATGAATACCATTTTATGTCTTATAGTCCAGGCTAATCTTTATCTGAAGAGTTGGCTTCGGGAATGGTTTTAGTTCTGGGTTAACAGAGAGTCTGAGGGCCACGTCTTCTGGAGTTCCTCCAGTCTCAGTCAGACCATTAAGTCTGATCTTTTTACTAGAATATGAGTTCGGCACCCTACTTTTCTCCTGCTCCGTCAGGGACTCTCTGTTGTGTTCCCTGTCAGGGCAGTCACTGGTGATAGACAGGCACCATGTAGTTCTTCTGGTTTCGGGCTGATGGAGTCTCTGGTTTATGTGGCCCTTTTTGTCTCTTGGGCTACTATTTTCCTTGTGTCTCTGGTATTCTTCATTCCCCTTTGCTCCAGGTGGGTTGGGACCACTTGATGCATCTTAGATGACTGCTTGCTAGCTTTTAAAATCCCAGACGCCACAGTAATTAAATACTTCTTAATGTAACACTGGAGCCCTCGTGGCCCACTGGTTAAGAGCTCGGCTGCTAACCAAAAGGTCAGCAGTTCGAATTTACCAGCCACTCCTTGGAAACCCTATGCAACAGTTCTACCCTCTCCTGTAGGGCCACTATGAGTCGGAATCGACTCAGTGGCAATGGGTGTGTTTGTTTGTTTTTATGTAACACTGGTACATAATTTTAAAATAAAATATTATAAAACCTTATTTAAAAAAAAAAACAAACAGCACAGCAGTTCCTTTCTCTGTATCTCCCTATAACATGCTGATAGTATTGTACAGATTTTCAGTTTTGGTCATTCTGTATTGACTGTCTACTATAAAAATTAGCCAGATTCCCAAAAGAGGAATCTTTGATCTCCCACTTGGAGGGTATTTGCCTAGCAGTTAAACTATGGTTCTAGAAGCCAAGCAGGGGAATGGGGCTGGGAGTCTCACAGACCTATACACAGATTTTTGTTTAATCCCACTCACGGCTATGCCTGGTGTCCACCAGTGCAAAGCCTCTTGAGGTCAACTCCAATTGTCAACTCCCTCCCCCTAGGCTTCTGCAGGTGTGGGGAAGGGGCAGCTTCCTGGCCCTGTGGGCTGGAGGGAAGATTCTCATGGCACAACTACTCTTCATACAGGCTTTCAGATTCATCTTGCTTTCAGTCCTCCCCTTCACTCTGGCTTCACGGGAACCTGGCACCTCCAACTTTTATGTATAATCTCTCTCTTTTTAAATGTGGGCAGTAGTTTTAAAAAATACTCAGCAGGGTTCAGCAAGTCAAACAAATCACCTGCAGGCTAGATGTGATCCTTGGGTTCTAGCTTTGAATTCTTAGGTGAAGAAAAGGCTGTTAGAAAAATCCTAATCTAACCTACTGCTTGCTCTTTGACTTAAATAATTATGGAAAGAGAAAGAGCACACTTTCTATGCACATCTATTGAATATAAGATACTAAGGCAGGCTAATAAGGAGAAGCTGGCTTGGTATTATATACCCAGAACTTGATTTAGATCACAAACAATCAGCATTTATTGGATGCCTGCTGTGTGCTTCACAGTGCATACCAAATGCTGAGA